TTTTAGCACTTCCCAAATACATTAAAATCCTTTGTAAAGATCATAGGCTTGGCCTGTTTCACTATCCCCATCCCCTGACAAATACATCAATCAAAGGCTCCAAGCTAACCATTCCACCACGCCTTTCAGGGCCACAATTCTGGGGCACTGACTAGGCCAAAGGGAGCTGTCTACACTGAATTTATTTCACCTATAGGGAATCTCAACCCTTTAGACTATATATGCAACTACAGCTGGTTGGGAAACAGGAAAAAATAAAGGTAAACTATGAAAATAACAGATTCAGCTTGAAGAGATTAAATCTGAGAGGTCCTTATCTTTCCATAGAGATACAAAGACAAATTTTCAGAAGTATTCAAGTCCCATTTTCAAAAGTGACCAAGGCCCACATTTTTAAAGGTATGTAGGCATTGCAGTGCTCTGTGTACAATGCTTAACTGAATTAGGAGCCTAATATAATTTTCAAAAGGGATTCAGGCACTTATTCTAAATCCTATTGACTGTCAATTGGATTTTGGCTCCAATATTTTCAGAACATAAGAATGGCCACACTGAGTCAGACCAATAGTCCATCTAGCCCAGTATCCGATCTTCTGGCCAATGCCAGGTACTTCAGAAGGAATGAACAGTACAGTCAACTGAGTGATCCATCTCCTGTCATCCACTCCCAGCTTCTGGCAATCAGAGGCTAGGGACACCCAGAGCATGGGGTTGCATCCCTGCTTATATTGGCTAATAGCCATTTATGGACCTAGTTATCTAGTTCTTTTTTGAACCCTGTTATAGTTTTGGCCTTCACTACATCCCTGGCAATGAGTTCCTCTGGTTGACTATGCACTGTACTTCCTTTTGTTTGTTTTAAACCTGCTGCCTATTATTTTCATTGGGTAACCCCTGGTTCCTGAGTTATGAGAAGGAATAAAGAACACTTCCTTATTCACTCTCTCCACACCAGTCATGATTTTATAGACCTCTATCATATCTCCTCTTAATTGTCTCTTTCCCAAGATGAAAAGTCCTAGTCTTTTAAATCTCTCCTCATACAAAAGCTGTTCCACACCATTAATCATTTTTGTTGCCCTTTTCTGTACCTTTTCTAATTCCAATATATCTTTTTTGAGAGGGGTGACCAGAATGTCACGCAGCATTCAATGTGCGTGTGTGATGGGCTCCCCTCGGGGTACCACCTGGAACTGGGGTCCACTGAGCTTCCTTGACCCTCCAGCCTCGGCTCCCTTTACACTGTCCTGCTGTGACAGACCCTCAAGCTCCCTCCAACACACATAAGGGTTGGGACACACCCAGCAGCAGCTACATACAGACGCTGACATCAGCTCTGCATGGGAAGGCTTCACCTAAGAAACTGCCCAGCTACTCAAGTGCACCCCCCCCCCCGGAGGGTAAATCCAAAATTATACCATTTTGAGCTGCACAGGGAACTGTACAGCGTAAGTTCATGAAATTCGCCCCCTCCCTCGATGTGGAGAGGAATATACATAGCTTTCTGCCCCAAGTTATGACTCCCACACACGCACTGGTTTTAGACAAAGCAAAAATAAATTTATTAACTACAAAAGATAGATTTTAAGTGATCATAAGGGATCGCTAACAGATCAAAACAGGTTACCTAGCAAATAAACCAAAAATCAATCTAAGTTTAATATACTAAAGAGATTGGATTTGAATAGTACATTCTCACCATAAATGATGATTTAAGCTGGTTGCAGAGATTCTTAAGGGGCCAGCTGCCCTTGCTTGCAACCCCAGGTATTCCTTTCACAGGCTAGAAACCCCTCTAGCCTGGGTCCAGCACTTCTCCCCACTTCAGCCTTGCTCCTCAGGTGTTTTCAAGAGTCTCCTTTGGGCAGGGAGTCAGTGAAGAACCTCGATGATGTCACTCCGCTCCTTAAATAGCTTTTGAAAATGGTGGGAACCCTTTGTCTCCAAGCTTGGTTCCCACGCCTTTCAGTGGATAAACACTGGTATTCCAAGATGGAGTCCAGTACCAGGTGATCTGGTCACATGCCCCTGTAGTGTTGTTATAACAGCCATGACTCGGAGGCTCTTTGTAGTGTCCTCAGGAAGGCTCCCCAATGGGAGATTATCTTCTTCTAAAACCTATTGTTCTCCCTAATGGCCCTTCCCAGCCAGCCAGCTAGACTGACAGTTTTTTGCCTAGTGGGTGTTCCCTAGGTGTAAACACATTTATAGTAGATACATAGATAATATTCCTAACTTCAGATACCAAAATGATATATGCAAACAAGTAGGATAATCATATTCAGTAATTCATAACCTTTTCAATGATATCTCACATGCCTTATCTTTCAAAAAATACATCATCATTATGCCATACTCATATCATAATAATATTATGATGAAGAATATGGGGTGTAGTGTCACAGTGTGGGCATACCATGGATTTATGTAGTGGCATTATAATATTTTCTGTCTTTATTATCTATCCTTTTCCTAATGGTTTCTAATATTTTGTTAGCTTTTTTGACTGCCACTGAACATTAAGTGGACGTTTTCAGAGAACTATCCAAGAATGATTCCAAGATCTCTTTCTTGAGCTAATGTAGACCCCATCATTTTGTTGGGATTAAGTCTTCCAATGTGCATTACTTTGCATTTATCAACATTGAATTTCATCTGCCATTTTGCTGCCCAGGCATCTAGTTTTGTGAGATATCTTTGTAACTTTTCACAGTCTGCTTTGGACTTAACTATCTTGAGTAGTTTTGTATCACTGGCAAATTTTGCCACCTCTCTGTTTACCCCTTTTTCCAGTTCATTTGTGAAAATGTTGAACAGTACTGGTCCCCGTACAGATTCTTGGGGGACACCACTGTTTACTTCTCTCCATTCTGAAAACTGCCCACTTATTCCTACTCTTTGTTTTCTGTCGTTTAACTTAGAGAGCTTTTCATTGGAATAGTAAAATTATTTTTTCTAGTAGTCCAGTAGTAAAACGACTGTTTCTTAAGAAACAGCGATATATTATGCACAGATGGTTTAACACAGAGAAACAGTTTTAATACTGCAGTAAAAAGCTCTCTCTGAGAACATTCTTTTCTTCCTGCAGGCCCCAATTTAGGAAATCATCTCTCCAACTCAATGGGACTTAAACATGCACTTGAAATTAAGCCAGTGCCTAACTACCTGCCTGAGTTGGGGCCTTAACCCTATGGTCCACGGAGGCAGAGTGGGCTACTGGAAGCCTCCCTCTCAAAATCACTGATGCAGCAGAGCCTGCTGCAATGCACAATGTCTTATCACATGCATCTTCTTTTCATAGGAGTATTTAAATAATGCTGTAACAGACACTTTAATATTTGAATGAGACTTGATTTAGATTTTCATACTTTATTTATAGAAAGCAAACAAAACAGGTATTATGAAACTATATCTTCATGGTAAGTGAAAATGAAGATTCAGTGCTGTATCCTTAACACTTCTTGGTGTGTTATCACAGGGCTCTGAGAAATGTGTGGGTGTTACAATATCAAGACAGGAGTCGCTTCCATCAAAACCTTTCTCCGCCTTTTTTTCAGCACAATATAAAAAAAAGTCCTTGGCTCTAGTGTAAAAGGAAACATTCTCAGTATTGACAAAATAGTCAATAACTCCTCAAAGGTGAACAAATAAAAAATGTGAAGTATTTCTTTCACTATATACACCCTTTATGTATTTGGAGGCTTAAAGTTACTGAATCTTGTGTTTTCTCAGACAGACCTTAACGCGGTTCAATGCACTCCATTGATTTTTGGAGAGGAAATGTTTTGCTCAAGGGTACTATTGAAAGGTTATCTCACCCAAGGTTTGATATCTAGAGATAAATTTGTTTGCTCATAAAACAGGACTCAAACAACATAACCAGTCCTTTCTCATTTCAGAACAACATGGACTCAATGCATTGCTCTCCTTGAACTCAGATGGATTCATGTCAGAATTCATGTATTTGGGTCTGACTGCAGTTTCCTTTTGGATAATGATTTGCTGTGTCTAATCGCATATAATATGCATGTTCTTATATGGGATACACTCTAGAACATATATGTCTTTTCCTAACTGGATAGTTTACTCTTTCCAAAGTGGGAATAGTCACTGAAATATCATTTACAGTCAAACATTCACAACAGGGCAAAGGCATCGTACAAATTATACACAGGGAAAGCAATGGTGTTCTATAAAGGCATGGGTGTTTTTGTAGGTCAGAGGTGTGAACTTAATCATTTTAACATTTATCAAATGGACTGAGCACTTTACAGAAAAAAGTGACATTTACAAGGGCTTGTGGTGGTATTTGGAAGATGACAAAGGCTATATTATTTTGTGTTGATTTCTAAGATTTGACAGGCCCTTATTCAAAAATTTTCTAGCAGTAATCCTTTTTTAATAACAGTTCCGAACTTCCCTTCTCCTAAGGTAAATACAAAAAAAGTGGTCCCCAAGCATGTATCTTAGTTGTTCAAATATAAATCTAAGGCACAAGACAGACAGCATACCACTCTTAGCAAATGGTGTAACACTGTTTCCCAATAGCCAGTTTAGTGAAAAACAAATCTCTGGATGAAGCCATTACATTGTTTGAAGAAATATGGGATTTTTTTCATTTTCCAGTTACAGACCTCAGTCAGTAATCAAATCTAATTTCCTCTTCCATAAAGTCATGGACATTTTTCCTTTCTTGCCCCATGCAAGGAAACAGATGTTTGGATTGACATTTTCACATTCATTTTGATACTCATATCGTTAATTATTTTAGTGTTTCATAACCCATCTGTGAGTTTATTATACCTTGCTTCCTCCCTTCTTACTCCTTCCCCTACAGATATAACAGAATTAGGCAGGGTCCTTATATGTAATGGGACTATTTGAATGTATTGGACAAGTGTTTTCTTTTTGTTCTGTATTTATTGTATTATTACCTGCCTTATATAAACCAACAAAAAAGAATGAACAAAGGGATCAAGAAATTCTAAGGTTGGTCTTACCTGATCCATTAGCTGGGAATAGAGTTCATAGCAGTTGTCAAAAATATACTTGTAGGTAGAGTCTAAGCAAGCTCTGACACAATCTTTAACCACCATACTGGCTCGAGGTGGACTCTGCAATTCCAGGACCTTATAGAATATTTCATAAAATCAGAAAATAAGAGAATTTCAGAAACAGCTGGACTAGAAAAATGTGTATATTATGTGTAGTGAGTTATCTGTCCAATGCAGCATTGGGAGCAATGAAATATAATAAAGATCAATACAATATGAAAATTACATAGATTTATGCATGGTGGCCTCAGTCCAGAGAAGCACTGAAACACATGCTTAACTTTAAGCATAGGAGTAGTCCCACACTGAAGCTTACTTCAATAGGATTATTCACACGAGGAAACTACAACACATGCTTAAGTGATTGCACGATCTTGCCTTTAGGCCTTTATTCAGGAAAGCAGCTAAGCACATCTTTAAATGTTTTCCCAAATAGGAATGATCTTTTGAATCAGTGTCTTAGTGCACAAACAGCTACATATTTTTTAAAGCATTGATTTCTATAAACATTTAACCTATCCATTAAAATACATATACTTAAGCTGAGTTTCACCTCAATAGTCCATCTTTTTGTTCTGTGTTTGTACAAGCCCAGTACAGTTCTAGTCCATTACTGAAGCTCATAAAAGTGTTACTGAAATATTATTCTTGCTACTAATAGGATGTGTTTGTTAACACACTATTAGATTAACAAAAATTGAAAATTTTGATTTGTGTTTCTATATCTAGAGCCAGATGAGGCAATTTCAGAGGGATAGGTGTGTTAGTCTATATCAGCAAAAACAATGAGGAGTCCTTGTGGCACCTTTGGAGATGAACAAATGTATTTGGGCATAAGCTTTTGTGGGCTATAACCCACTTCATCAGATGCATGGAGTGAAAAATACAGTAAGCAGGTATAAATATACATCACATTAAAAGATGGGAGTTGCCGTACCAAGTTGGGGGAGTCAGAGCTAACGAGGCTAATTAGGGTGGATGTGACCCATTTCCAACAGTTGACAAGAAGGGATGAATATCAACAGAGGGAAAATTATTTTTTGTAGTGACCCAGCCACTCCCAGTCTTTATTCAGGCCTAATTTGATGATGTCATGTTTGCAATGTGTATCTTTTCCTTATCATGTGGAAATCTTGCTCACTTTATTCATGATCACCTTGACGTTGACTACTTGTATATCTATGGCAAGTAGGTTTTGGCCTAATGTCATTAGCCTCATTTTGATGTTTGAAATAATACTAGGACACAGTTTCCAATAGGAAACATTATTCGTCCTGATAAATACCTGAAGCGTCTCAGCTGCTTTTGTTTGATTTTCAGTTTATTCTGTTCACTAAACCTAGCCCTAATCTTACTCCAGCAGAGAATCTTTATACTTAATTTTAACTGAGTTTAAACAAATGTTAGCGATTGGGTTTTTTTTAGCTTTCTCCAGTAGAATGATTTTTATTTTATTGGCTTCTTGTTAATGAACAATGATAAAAAGTCAACAGAACACTGACTTGACAGACTAGGTGAGTAATATTTGCAGCTGTGTGCTCTTAAAGGTAAAGCATTAATTCAGGTGTAACTTCTGCATCAGAAAAGCAATTTCTGGAGTCCTGACACCAGTGAAAGGGTCTCTTTGCAAAGCAGTTGTTCATAGCATTGAAGAGATGAAAACAATATCAAAAGTCACCGGATAGTAGAGGATATCTTTGCCTGGCTTTGGAGGCAAGAAAACTACATTGAGCCTGTCCTCTGCCAAGCTTAGAAAGATGACAGGAGCAAAGCTAGTTTCAGTGGTGGCAAAGGAGCAAAACTGAACAAGAGATTCTTTTTTTAAATACAGCTGTTACATACAGTACAACCTCAGAATTACGAACTGACCGGTCAACCACACACCTCATCTGGAACCAGAAGTATGCAATCAGGCAGCAGAGATAAAATAAACAAACAAATACTGTACGGTACAGTACTGTGTTAAATATAAATGACTACAAAATAAAGTTTAAAAAAATTTGCCAAAGTAAGAAAACCCTTTTTGTGCTTGTTTCATTTAATTAAGATGGTTAAAAGCAGTGTTTTTCTTTGGCACAGTAAAGTTTCAAAGCTGTATTAAGTCAATGTTCAGTTGTAAACTTTTGAAAGAACAACCATAACGTTTTGTTCAGAGTTATGAACATTTCAGAGTTCCGAACAACTTCCATTCGTGTTTGTAACTCTGAGGTTCAACTGTATATTCTAAGGAGGTGCAGTTCAATAATATATCTTCAGTTAAACCTGAGAAAGATAAATATAGTTTGTGGCATTCTGCATTCTCCCCCTTTTACATTCTTTCAGTATAAGATTTCCATTTAGCTAGATCTTCAGAAAGCTTAGGGATTTAATTTAAAACTAAAGCAGCTGAAATATATTTAGAGACTATCACCAGTGATGTTCTGTATCTTAAATTGAGTCTCAGGGCAGAATTCATCAAGCTAAGATATCAAGAGCACACCCTAATCATTGAGGTTTGATAGTTGTGATCCATGGCACCAAATACAGTGTGGCTTTCCTAGAAAAATAAATGTGCACTGTGTTTCTCTGATGCCAGTAACAGAGATAAAGTGTGGTACCTTCATTCGAAAAAAAGTAATGCTGGTTAGCAGGTCTACTGTTGATTTCAGGTCTTGAAGCCTTTCAGAATTGCTGGCAGGAAAGTTATCCTAGTTAATTGGGGAAAAGGAAATAAGCATAAGGTTTAGGGCAAGACCCTTAAAATGTTAAGGAAAAAACTCACAAGAAAACAAAGAAAGCAATAAACACAGTGTGTGGGATTATCAACTGCGCTCGGGGGGTCCATCTACATTCCCTTTGAAGTCAATGGTAAAATGCCTAGTGACATCAGTGGGAGCAGAGTTAGGCCCAAACTGACCATTCTTGGAAGTCTTAGGGTCTGTGATAACGACATGCAAGTTTCAAAATATTGCATTGCCATTTCTAAAAATCTCATAGAAACAATACTGCAACGAGAAGGTTAAAGAAACGCTGTTTGTGATTTAAAGGAAACCCTTTTATTTGTTCTCCATCGTGTATCAGTTAGTTCCAGAAATAAAGTTAGTAGTTTCATAATAAGCTTAAATGAATTGGAATTTATGTGAAATACTAAGAATTCCCTAGATTAGCAGGCAGATTGATAGCCAGGAAACATTTTTGGTGGTCCTTTAATGGCCTCATACTATCAAAGGACTAGTCAACTATCCTTATAATCTGATAGGGAGTAGATATTCTTCAACACTGAAGGAACCCACAGAGAGACACATACGCTGAATGAAACTTTTGATTTTCTAAACTCTAAAAAACTGCCCCACCAATTGTAATACCACACAATGACCCTCTTTTCTTAGCTCTGATAATCTCAAGAAGGAACAGAACAACTTACTCAACCCAGAAAATATGGTTTTGTTAAAACACTAATGTCCTAAAATTTGAATTCTAATTCAAGGATTGGTAATACAGTGTGAGCACCTTGATTCTTTCAAACTTCATGTCAGACGAGATATTAATATCTAAAACTGATATACACAGATAAAGTGCACTGATATATTTATACTAAACAATGTATGATTTGGTCCCTTGGTAGGAGCTGTTGTACATACCCTGTATTTAGATAGGTCAATCCTCAGTGAATTGTGCAATTGATCCAGCAGTTTTATGAACTTTTCCCTCTGTACAAAGAAGACATGAACATTTGCACATGAGAAACAATGCGGTGCCAAGTTTCTGTAGTTATGAGTGTAAATCTATAGCCCACACATTTATCACAAAGCATACAATCTGCTGTCTTCCATTCTGGATCTGTTTAGAAAGTGTGCAGTTTTCAATTTATTTGTATAAAAGCATTGGTCTGACATAACAGTAAGTATATCAGAAACCGTAAATGTGTTATGCCTTCTGCCATATTTCATGATTCATCTAATATAGCACAAATTTCTGGCATTCATTCACCATCATGCAGCCTTAAAATGGATTAGTGAAGTGCAGCAGCCTTTCCCCTAAACTGTTTTCCTTTATCTTAATAACTGATGTGTTGTTGAGTAAATAACTAAAACAAAAATACCCAGGGAAACGGAAAAAACATTGTCAGAAGACTCTGAACAACAACAGTATCAACTCAAATTAAAGTTCAAAGGTTTTCAGTGATGGGTGTGTGGCTTGTCAGAAAAGACCAGCTTGTTCTGGGTCTGTATTCAGCTCCTTACAAAACACTGCTTGCCTCTTTTAAAACTGTAAAACATTATTTTTTTTCACAAGGGAGTTTTAGCAAGATGTAAACATACAGAATGGGGAGGAGGTTGGGGACTCCTCTGATTGGTACAGCAGGGAGCCAGTGCTCCCCATTCTCATAGCCCACCTTAATCCCCTTACGATGGTGGTGGATAGTTAAAGTCCAAGTCATGGGTTGGCTGGGGGACCTGAATGGAAACAAAGGGGGGCTAGTGGAATCCCTGGAGAACTGATTTGAATAAACATGGATTTGCCTGCACTGTACACTTTATCTGCCGGGTAGTCCCAGACATCTATATAATAAAATTGCGGCCTGATTAAAATCCACAAGTGTCTCCTGTCCTCCTTGCGGTGTACCCAGACAATGACCTATTAGAGATGGTGGCCTTGTGAAACCTATCTGAGCAATAGCTTTTCCCTTTGAAAATGAAGATTGACTTATGATTTTAGTGTATAAAGGCCCAAGGGTAACATTTTAGTGCAATGCATACAACTGAGCAGTGTGAGTCTCAGGACTGTTAATGAGAGTTGTATGCCTTTCATGCTTTATGTTGAAACACTTATGCTCCTTATCCAACTGCAAAAAAACATGAAGTTACACCATCAGAATATGTAAAGGCTACAGACTATTGGAAGTAGCAAGATCTGATATCCATAAGCGTATATTCTGACCTCTATCACACTTCTGAACTATGCAATGATGTGACCATGGTATAACTTGCATGCTTTCTCTCATATACCAAGGGAGTACTAACCTACACATAAAGCCTTTAATCTGGCATAGTTCCATTAAGTGTTCAACACAAGGGGATGTTTTTGCCTTGTTATAAATCTCCACTGAAATACTCAGACAAATCCATCCCAGATGTAGGCTTGAGGACTTGAATTTGGGATGTTCTTTTTGATAAATGGTGTGCAGCTAGCCACTATCATGCAACCTGACCCAAAGGGCTTCAGAAATGAGAAAAATAATCTTATATTTTGCCTATAAGTCAATTGTTTGAAAACAGAGCCCAGAACCTCTATTAGGGATGTTTTAATACTGTCCTTCTACCCATCTGTTGAACTACGAATTGGATTGGTATTTGTGTCAAAGGTAAATTGGCATGAACATCAGAGAGAGGACTTAATCTGCCCCTCCAAGCTGAGGATAAAAAAAATGTTCTGATCACTAGCAAAATGGAAATAAAGAAGAGAAAATCCAGGGTGAAAAAAAAAAACAGCAAAACTTTACATTTCAAAAGCTGGCTCAAACACAAAACATCTGATACTGAAACAGTAGAGTGCCATTTCAACAAAAGTATAAGAGCCAGAATGATTTAATAACAAATAGGGCTGTCGATTAATCACAATTAATTCATGCAATTAACTCAAAAATATTAATTGCAATTAATCACAGTTTTAATCGTGCTGTTTAACAATAGAATATCAATTGAAATTTATTAAATATTTTTGGATGTTTTTCTACATTTTCAAATATACTGATTTCAATTACAACACAGAATACAAAGTATACACAGCTCACTTTATATTATTTTTGATTACAAATATTTGCACTGTAAAATGATAAACAAAAGAAATAGTTTTTTTCAGTCCACCTCATACTACTACTGTAGTGCAATCTCTTTATTGCGAAAGTGCAATTTACAAATGTAGATTTTTTTTGGTTACGTAACTTCACTCAGAACCAAAACAATGCAAAACTTTAGAGCCTACAAATCCACTCAGTCCTTTTTCTCGTTCAGCCAATCACTAAGACAAACAAGTTTGTTTACATTTACAGGAAATAATGCTACCCACTTCCTATTTATAAAGTCACCAGAAAGTGAGAACAGGCATTCACATGGGACTTTTGCAGCCGGCATTGCAAGGTATTTACATGCCAGATATGCTAAACATTCGTAGGCCCCTTCATGCTTCAGCCACCATTCCAGAGGACATGCTTCCATGCTGATGATGCTTGTTAAAAAAATAATGCGTTAATTAAATTTGTGATTGAACTCCTCGGAGGGGGGGAGGAATTGTATGTCTCTGGCTCTATTTTACCCACATTCTGCCATACGTTTCATGTTATAGCCGTCTCAGATGATGACCCAGCACATGTTGGTTATTTTAAGAACACTTTCACTGCAGATTTCACAAAATGCAAATAAAGTAACAATGTGAGATTTCTAAAGATAGCTACAGCCCTTGACCCAACTGTGGAAAACATCCTAAAATATTTAAATACATTGTATTCTATTATTGTTTAACAATGTGATTAATTGCGTGATTAATTGCAATTAATTCTTTTAATCACACAATTAATTGTGATTAATTTCTTTAATCGCTTGACAGTCCTAATAACAAATCATCAATGTACTTTTAAAATTAGCAGCTGAATAAACACATCTAAGTTTCATCGCTACAATATTTGGTAATATAGTAATTAAATAATAGTAGTAATGTATAGTCAGATAGTACTTTTCATCTGTATATCTTACAGATGTTCACAACAACAGGTATCACTATTACCCTTTTATAGAGGGGAAAACTGAGGTGCATTGAGTTTGAATCCCAGTCCCGGGAGACACTGCCACCAAACTGAGGATCTGATCCTACAAACCTTTATTATTGGCTACAATGCTTGCTATCACAAGTAGCTCCATTAACCTCAACATATTTTAAAACAACAACAAATGGAAATGTAATACAGTATTTGTTCAATATTTATTTAATGGATGCAACAATTAAGATGATTATTTTTTGGAAATAGGATTTAAAATAAAATTATAAGATGATCTGAGTAAATTGCCAAAGGGAGTTAGAAAATGTCTTAATGTTAGGAACTACTCTAGTAGGACATGGGGTTAATAATCAGCCACTTGCAGCATCAGGCCGTTGGAATGGCTCCACGATTCAGCCATTCATTCTTCCACAAGATCACAATAAAAATGAGTTTGACAGACACTAGTTCTGCTTCATAAAGGTGCTGGTTTGCATTTCATCCACAAATATTTAGTTTCAGTTACGGATTTAAACATGCAAGGCCCTTCATGGAGAAAATATGTAATAATGCTGTATATAATACAATTCTGAATCTAAATTTGATTTACTGCATACTGTGGAAAAATGCCCGGAATGAATTTTCTTTACAAAAAATTTGTTTCAGGCACAGATGGAATTATTTTCTTGGCCATTGTCTGAAAATTGTGTCCTCTGTTGTAAAACAAAACAAAACAAAACACCAGAATTATTTTTTTGGGGTTTAGTAGCCAAATTTTATTATTTGGTAATAATGCACTTGAAAATCATGAAGAAGTGGAAATATTTTCATTACACTTAGTTTTGGAGACGGGCCTTAGTGCTCCTGACAGCGCTTCATGCAGCAGCAATTCGTACTTCATTAATATTAATTGTGTTTGATATTTGATTAAATCCCAAATTTATTAAAATAGATATTAATAAATAATATTTTAGAAATCATTAGTGTGTGTTTGCATTTGGTAATGAAACAGAGGATCATTCCTTAAAAATAGCTGACATACAAATAATAGCAATGCAAACTGAAAAAAATGAAGAATATAATATATTAATTCTTCAGGGCCAAATTGTGTTTATGCCCTATCTCTATCTACCCACATCAAGAGTGCCAGTATGGGAGTGAAAGCAGGCTCCCCAGACCGGCTCCTCTCCTTTCCTTCCCCAACCTCCCCAGTGCAGCTAGGGGAGGGGAAGTGGAGGTTGGAGAAATGAGCAGATCCTTAGTTCTACCACCTCCAAAGCACTGGGCAGTACACATTATGCCAGGTATTGACAAAGCACAGTTTACTCCCTCCCTGGAGGTGCTGGGGAACCAGGAGAGTCATGATCTCCCTCCCTTTGCCACTTCCTAAGAGTAGGTATTACATCATCTCATTATCTTGCCCTTAGTACACAGCACACTCTAATTCCATACTGAGTTTTCAACAACTGAAAACTACCCTTGATAAGCCAGTTTTCTTGTCTTGTATAGTGAATGACTCTATATAAAATCATTCTACCAGGAGTCTAATTTTAAGAGCCATCCCAATGATACCAAACAGAAATATCATGTTTAACTTCACTTTCCCTATACAGGATTGGCACACTTTGATCATGTGTGTTTTCTAATAGTCATGTCATGATGCCATTCACTTCTACAAAAAAGAAAGAGTTCAGTACCAAACCTGAAACAGTAGGTGTAATCTTTAGTTTCTTAGATGAAAGATTTATTGCAAGCACTTTCCCTAATGATGGAGACAAAGGAAAAACACCTATTCTGAGTTCCTATTATATAAGTAGAATTATTCCTGTAACTAGTTAGAGGGAATATCTTAGTTGGTGTTTCCACTATTGATAGTAACACTCTCACCTGAAAAGATGCTGAATCTTCATTATAATGTTTCTCTATTACTGACTTATGCAAAATTGTAAAAAAGACACATTTTTTGAAGATAGTCACTACAAATATCCTTAAGCTAATGGTTCTGAAGGTTCTATTCTGATTACTTCGGGCCAGATCCATTGGGTCCACGTACGTACACTGAAGCCAATATCCCATCTGAGGAACTGGCCTATCGATTTAATATAGAGTTGTGATGAGTTTGTAAACTTCTACCTTAAATCAAAACAAAATCCTTCTGATGTGAATTTCATTGAAAAATGTCACAAATAATGTGCATGCCAATCTTTATGTATGTAAGAGTTTAAAAAAAGATGTGACCAAAGTACGCAGTATGCTAATGTTAACTTATCAAAGAGACCCAGGGCAAAATTTTCAAAAGCATCTAAGTCTCTTTTTCAGAAGTAACTAAGGGTACAGCTACACTTGAGTTGTGCAGACATAATCAGACTAGCTTTTATTGAGCCAGAGCACTAAAAAATTGTAATGTAGCCAAGGCAGCATGGTCAGAAGCAAGTAGTGGCACAGATTAGCGGCTCAAGTACAAACGCACCCGGATGCTATGCGTACGTGCTTGCGGTAGCTAGTCCATGCTGCTGCCCATGCTACTGCGGCCACACCATTATTTTTAGCATGCTAGCGCAATGAGAGCTAGTGCTGTGTTTACATGAGCTGGGAATCACAACCCTAGCTCCAAGTGTAGATACAGCCTCAGACATTTTTGAAAATATTATCATCCCTAATATCATAGGTTCCATACTACATCAACTCTTAGAAAGTAGATACTGGGAATTCTATCATATTGCCAGGATAACAAAATGATACTTACACCAAAGTTGGTAGCAGCAAAACGATCGGAGGCAGACACATGAGTTGTAGCTGTAGTGTGAGCATAAAAAGCATTTATGTTGGCCAACAAGGTACTCATCACCGCTGGAACTCCAGAACACATGTATTTAGAAGACAGACATGAAAAGTGTCTAAAATTCAAACAGAGATTACCATTAAAGTATTAGAAGTATGCTATACAGATATATTCCAAGTGTTCTCTGGATAGCTTCTGCTTTCATTTATAAATTCACTGGTATAAATTAAGTAACATCATTGACTCCAAATGGCGGCTCTTGGGACTTACACTGGCATACATGAGATCAGAATCTAGCTCTGATCTATACCACTGCTATGGGTTGTACACTGGTGATTCAAAACTGAATACAACTAGAAGTGTTAACTGATTGTATCAATTCCAAAATAAAATGTGATTATATATAGTTATTATATTTGGCTGTATTAAAAGAAAAATGTTTATCAAATACAAAATTTATCACAGAAGGCTACAGTGGGTCTACACCACCCAGGTTAGTTTCGGTTTGGAAGAGTTTGGGCAGTAGGAATAAAGAGGATGACATTTTGCTAAAGTATTACTGAGGCTTATTTTTTAGGCTATTTTACTACTGAGAAGTGGGACTTCCAAAAGTCATGGAGACTAGAAATCTTTCCATCTTGCTTTACACTCGAAAGAAAGAGCATCAATCTTACACTCAAAGAACATTAATACTGGCAGTGCACCAGGCAATAAAATATTGAACATCTGACTTGCACTCAGATGAGAGTGCAAAACCCAGAATACATGGTCTTCTTCTAGAATCATTATCAATTGCTAATCATTCTGTTACATAGGACAACTACATATAATTAGATGAAATTCTGACTACTGATAAACTAATGAGAACACAATGTCAGCTGTAAGGTCACAGAGCATTTAAAAAAAACATAGTACTGTATAAGTCATAAAGAAGTAATAATACACAAGGTAAAAAATGACGAGGAGTTCAATTTCAACACTTCTCCTAAATTTAAAACAAAGTTGATGTTATTGTTGGTACACATTTTTCTGTTTCATTTGAATAAAAAAAATGAAAAAGACTTTGAAAATATGAAATACCATAGATTGTACAGAAAAAAGAATGTAATACAAGCACCAAATGCTTAATTCTGTATAGGTCAACTTAAGCCAAATATACTAACTCATGCCATTGCTAATGTCATTTTCCACTTACGCTGCTTGTCCATATCTCCTCCCTCACTTTAATCCTGTCACTGGATTCTTGTCTATAAAACACATTAAACCAAACTCCTGCTACATTCCCAAAACTCCCCACTTAATTTCACACAGCCTACATCACTGCTTTTATATCTTCCAACTCTCCTATTCACCCCCTGTGGTGCTCCCAGTCCCTTCTCTGAACTGCTCCCTCCATCTGCTTTTTTTTTCCCCACTGAATGCATCCGATGAAGTGAGCTGTAGCTCACGAAAGCTTATGCTCAAATAAATTGGTTAGTCTCTAAGGTGCCACAAGTACTCCTTTTCTTTTTGCGAATACAAACTAACACGGCTGCTACTCTGAAATCCATCTGCTTGTCACTGACTGTCATGTCCTGATCAGTCCCAAAAGCTGCAGCTGCTCAAACCCCCTGCTGGAGAGACAAAAATGACTCTTTCAGGGTCCACAATACCATTCCTGGCTTCATGCCTTCAACAACACAGATTCTTATGATCTCTTGGAACAGTCTGTCTCTTCATGTCAGCCAAGCACCATCTCTCCCTGTCTTAAAAGCTACTTTCTCCAGACATAGGTATAATATCAGGCGGGATGCCAAGAGAAGAAAATAGGGCTCTCTTGCAACCCCCCCTTCCTTCCCAGCTCTCAGACTGGTGTGGAGAGGTCCTCAGCACCAGAGCCAAAAGTGCTGCTGTCAGCTGCAGCAAGCAGCCAGCCCTCAAGCCCCCTCCTGTATGAGAACAGCTCTCAGAAATAAAAACTCCACTCAACATCTCTATGTTCAGCCAGCAGGGGGAACGAGAAGAGCCTAGAGGAGAGCTTCCTTTTCTTCCTGCCCAACAAGCTGCTCCACCATACCTGCATCATGTTTGGTGGGGGTGGAGTAGAAAGGGAGAAGACACACAGCTGTCCCACTTCCTTCTCAGGGCGGGGGGGGGGGAGGGGAGGAAGGAAAATAAGCTCTCTCTGTGATGGAGGAGAGACTCCCTCATTGGGGACACAAAAGAGCCCCTGGAATGGTGCGTGTAGAGGATGAGACACAGGGAGCCTGTGGTATGGAGGGCACTTGGGGGACTATAGGAAGGGGTCAGAAGGAGGACAGAGTACCTGTGATTGAAGGATCCAATGGGGACAGGAGGGTGGAGCAGAAAGCAAGCAGCCTTCCGGGAGGTGTTTACAAGGGTGCCATCATGTTGCCAAAAACTCTTATGAGTTGATGCCAGTCTCTCAACACAAGGTATTTTCCTTGGAGCCCCAACTTCTGGAGTGATGTGATTACATGACAATCTTAGCTTTCATTCAGAAAAGCTAACTTTCTAGCCCTCGTGGCTGTTGAGAAAAGCTCAAAAATATGAACCCAAGGGACTCAAAAATCAGGAGGCAAATATAAAAAACACAAAATTGAGTATTTTTAAATTTTCATTATTTTTAAGCTAATCTCATGATTTTTGTGGGCCTGAGGCATGATTACTGAATGCTTGGTTTGGCACTGGTGTTACTCAGTTTTTACCCAGGAAAACTCAAACCTCAGGGATTGGGCCTTTGTAAATTCTTTGAGAATGCTATATAAATTATTATTAATAATTAAAACAAAAATGCCTGCCAAACTCCTGTGAGGAAGACCTCAGTGGTGTGGCATTAAGAGGCATGTTGGTGACACATCAGTTTAAACCTGCACCAATCACTATCTGCTTCATGAACACATCAGGGAATAAGAGAAGATAGAAACCTGCAGCACCAACAAGGCAGACACTTGGTTGAGGAGACTGTTCCCATTACCATTACCATCTTTTGCTACCTCCACATTACAAGTCTCAGGCATCAAGAGTCAGGAATCCAGGATCAGGAGTCAGACTTAAGTGTATCTGATCTCTGATAATGGACCTCTTTTACATAACTCCTGAGATGTTCTAAAATGGACACTATGTGTAACACCAACAGACCCCGGTCATGGACAGGCGGGATCGAACCTGAGACCTCTGGAGCTTAGTGCATGAGCCTCTAGCGCATGATCTAAAAGTCAACGGGCTGTTAGCTAAGGCTGTAGAGCAAACTCATTAATCTCTCTAAGTGGTCTCAGTGCCACTAGATGGGACAGAACGCCACACCCAGGAGGTGTGTGGGTTACACATGCATCTCTAGACACAGCTCTTCCCCACTAGCCTTACCCAGTCAGGAAGGATATTAGTGAGTGCTACAGACATTTGAGCTTGAATCAGTGACTTGTATCCCATTGATTTCAGGGCAAAATCATCACAACCTGAGTCAGAATAAATTCCAGTGTATTCCCAAATGCTCCAACCACCAGTAAATGCTCCAACTATATGGCTTGTCCTTATTTTAGTTTAAAACATTTTAAGTTTTTTTCTAAAAGAATATAACACAAAAGACGTAATCAACTGAGCCTTGTAATTGAAATGCAATCGGCTGGAAAAAATGATTATACTGCAATTTTCTAACGCTCTACAGCAACTCATTCAAGACAAGTGACTTCATAGTTTTGTTTTAAAATCACGACTTCCAAGAAATAAACAAGTCATTAATTTGTGCAGCCACAAAAATCTTCAAAAATACCTAACCTTCTATTTAGTTTTTGTTATTTTAAAATATGCTGTGCCATTCTTAATAGCTGAGAACACAGAGGATTCAGGCACAGTGCAGGGTTAGTGCGCTCTGGGATGAATCCATCCCCCATTCCCAACCGTGAGCCAGGCTGTGGGGCTGGAACAGTTGGTGAAGCCTCCTGCGGCAGATGCTATGGGACTCATGTTTAGAGCTGAGCAAATAACTGATTTTTCAGGTCGCTGGCAGTTCAAATAAAAAAATGAATTTGGTCAAACCAAAACTGACATTTTTCAGGATTTTTGGTGAAGCAAGAAAGTCAGAAAATTTTTGTTCAGATTTTGGGCATTTTTAACTTTTAATAAAAGTAAAAGAAATGAAGGGCTAGATATTTACAAGTGCCCTTGTGAATCTAGACCCCATTGTTTTTTTTCTTGGCTGACATTATTCCGTGAATGTGTCCAATTTGTTACTAGTTGTCCCAAAACTGCATTTTTGATGAAAAATTTCACCCACTCTACTCAGATTCAAGTGATTCTGGGGTCCCCTCCCTTGCCCGGCCCCACTGTGTCCTTCCATGTTTGACTGTGCAAAGTTGGGGTAAAGACCCTTTCCAGGGCTCCTCCACTACTAAGAGCCTGAGTATTACACTTTCACTTTGAGTAGCACTTACTCATATCAGTAGTAACATTGATTTCAACTGGACTACTCCTGTGATTCAGTGCTACTCAGAGTTGAGTAAAGGTTCCAGAATTGGGTTCTTTGCTATCATCAGCTGGTTTCAACCATTCTGAATCACAAAGTACTTTAAAATGATGACAATCTATCCGGTAAATACATTCTAATGTTTAATCAATTAGAGATTTATTTTTCACTTTTAAATCCCCTTTATAATAAAAGGGAAGCTAAAGAATTATGCCAATTGAAAGTCAATGGGATTTAGGTTCCTTCATTACCTAAATCCCTTTTTAAAAGGTGTTGGAATGCTGAGTAGATCAATGCCTATATACCTTTAAAAATCTGGGTCTAACACTTGAAAACCTGAATTAAACTGGTCATCATCATATTGATCGTACCTCTCTAAGGCCTAAGCTCAAGTATTTCGTATGCAGTATTTATACTATTTTTGTATGACTATCTGAGAAAGTTCATGTAATACTCCTCATACAAGTAGGCTAAAAAACTCCAACTCTATTTACTAATCAGAATGGGTTTCTTGGCATTAGGAGTCCAAAAGAATGAAAATGGGTTTAAGCAGTAAAAAAGGAGGAAATGGAACACATGCATCAACTAAAGTAATTATGAAACAAATCCTGGAACGTGTTCCAAAAATGCCGATGTGCAAATATAACTAG